ACTCTTACCTCCCACAATAACATTGGATTCATTGTGAGTTTCAGCCCTCTTTACAGCATAGGCCCATTATGACCGACAAAGCGTGATAAATAATTGTCACAGAATGCTTACCTCCAGCAACTTGTGAACTTCGATAGATCGGACTGTCTTTGTCTATCGAGACATGTTGACGCAGCAATTAATTTAAAGGGAGGCAAGATTATGCACTTGAATCTCATTGTATCTTGCTTCTTTGAAGATTTTATAAGACATGGTCGGACCCAAGACTTCTGATGTGTAACAGAACCTTGTGTATCCTGGTAAACAGTGTCATGGAAAAATTGATCCTCGAGTAACGCTGAAGTAGTTTCACATTTTATACCCCTTTTTCAGATAATAAGCAGAGAAAGGCGGACTTGAGTATTGGTCTCTCTAGGAAGCAAAGACGAATTTCCATATAAATGCCATGAACTACTTCAATGGATAATCAATTTAAGAGTAACAATGCTTTGTCTGTCACCTTTCGGCTTCAATGAATTCGTACTGAGCTTTCTTATATGATTCGGAGAAGGTTAAACCAATGACTTAAACGATCAAATAGGCGAGAATAACTTAATTATTAGATCGTAGATATGAAGACCAAGGCTGTGTGGTCTTATTTTTGGTCGCAGTCTTCTATAGCCGTACAGTGTTGGTTTGACCTCACTTTCGCAACTTGGTCGGGGCGACAAGGAGACACTGTTGCGAAAGCGTGGTCAAATCAACAAAAAATACCTCCAACTCAATCTTCTTTCGGCCCCTGATGAAGAAGCTTAGACTTAATTTGTAAAATGAAATAAAAGGTCCAATAGCATTGGGCAATATTGTTCAATTTGAATTGTACATTCAAGCTAGTTCAGGTGGCATCAGTACCTCACATATATGAATAGATACTGGGTTTCGAAGACGGCCTTAGTGAGTTATTTTGACCCGAATTTATATTTCGAAGGCGTCACAGATTCTAACAGTCTTTGCTCCATGGCAATCCTGTTTCGGTTTCCGGTAATTCCAATTCGCAAATGCTTTCCAACCAGATTTTCCTTTAAAATGGAAGGCAAAGTCAAAATACTCCAGTACCTTCCTTTCTATTCAGTTGAGCAATTCCAGACATGAGATAGATATTTTAAATGTTATGCATAAAATGAATACGTAAGCATATGTTTGAATCTAAATTTGAAGTTTAAACACTTGTCTGGAGTCTAAGTTAATCCCATTTGCAACAAACAGTAAAGAAACAAAATTTCAACACCACCCAACAATTGTGGAGATAACTACAGTATCGAGTTCTATCCTAAAACAGGAGTTTCTGATGATTCCCTGCCAAAATTGGAGGTGAGGCACTCTATACCTGTAGTGTGTGTAAATAAACGGTTGCCTGTGTATGTGTGTGTGAGTCCGATATCAACTCTGGATGAGGACGATCGTTTAGAAGACGATCCAACGTGAAAATCAATGGTGAAATTTCGTGAGTCCTCCTGGCCAACTCATCCTAATCACCCTTACTTTAAGACTGGGTTGTTCTGAATACTCTTAATTAAGCCTTCGTTTTTTCACTACAGGACTCTGATTTTTATAATTACAGGAAAATGGAAAATAGTGGAATGTCAGCAATTGTTTTGAGGTAAATGAAAAACCGGAGTAGATAGTTTGACAGCTTTCCATAGCCGATATTTGGCAATTGTCTGCCACCTTAAAATGCTACGTTTTTGGAGTCCACAATTAAGGAGGCTTAGGACTTAAAAGGTGTGGCCTAGGAGGTCGCATCCTGTTCACAAGTAGAGGTTCACTGAAGAAGAAAGTTTTAAAGCCACAGTCTAACCTGATTGAGGTTTGGATACTTGATTCAGCAATATTATTATAAAAGATGAAACCCTCTCTTTCATTCTCATGTTCAGATTCAATATCAGCGTACATTAGAAACACTCAATTGCTGAATCTTGTTTTCTGTGTAAAAGTTAAAAGAAGTGCTAAAGTCAGGAGAAAGGGTTCTAAATAAGTAGAAGTCTTTAGTTAAGCTGCAAAATAAGTAGACATAGAGTTGCGAATCGAACACTCTAGAATAGCTAGAACATGGAATAGCGTATCTGGTATCTAAGGTAAATAATTAAGAAAAATTTCGATGACTTCCTTTACTTAGTACCGAACCACCTTCCTCATACGAGCCAAAATAAGAGTATGCGACAGAAATCCAAGGCTGCAGCTGATCAACGGATTAGAGGAGAGAGATCCAGCTTCCCGGAAACATTTTTATTCCAAAAAGTATGTGGCATTTTTTGTCCTCCTCTTAAAATAATCAGGCTATACAAGTTAAACTGAAAGAAACTATTTTTACAAATCAAATGTTTTCTATATTTGTTTGTTATTTAATAAGATATTTAACTTCTGTTGCTTTGGGGTGTTTTATACAATGCTCCAAAAAGATTTTTATACAGGCTGTCAGCCCAAAGGGACTCGAAATCGGATTGTACGCAGCGTGGAGAAGTAGTAACGTGTCTTTAAATTCTATGAAGTGACCTGTGCGATTAAGATCTTAATCTGAATGAGATATACGGACCAGGGCTTCCTGCCTCCTATGAGGCGAATCTACTTAAATGATACCCACGAAATTATACTACTTGCCAGTTGACAGTAGATTATGGTCAAAGGGATTAAATGTGGAGCCATTAGTAAAAGAAGTTAAGTCACCAGCTCGATTTCATCATACCGTAATCACTATTGCTACTGTTCTATATTTTATGCCCTCTTTTATTACAGGC